AGAAGAAGGATTTAAGATTTTCACGGCGGTGAGTCTGAAGATGGCTGTCTTCTGGGTTGTAGCGCCGTGTAATCTGGTAGAAGTTTATAGACGTTTCAGAGGTCCTTGCTTCGGTGACGGAGGCAGCAAGAACCTCTAAAACTTCAGTAAACTTATAGCAGACCATAAGGCGCTACAACCCAGCAGACAGCCATCTTAATACAAATACGCACATCGAAGCAAAATGTCATGATAAGAGACGCTGGAGTAATTGCTCTTATTTCATTAATGTAACATCGCAGAACGTTGTAAAGCTAATAACACATTGTCCAACTCCTTCCGAGTGATCGCGTTCTTTCGCGATTATACATTTTGCATAATGTTTCCAAACAGAGCATTAGTGCAATGTGACAAACGAGACAGGAGAGAACAGGGCAATTTTTTTGTTTATAAACGCCTCGTCGTTCGCGGAAAAAGCCAGCCGCCATATTGTATCTCGAGTGCAGAAACTTGAAGACGCATGAAGTAAGACGGAGGTATAATTGGCCACAATGTTTCAACATTCATGACAAGCAGAAATGGACGTTAAAGTCGCAATTAAAAACAATAACTTTCCTGTTATTGTTAATGTGAAAATTAATATCGGAACTTTTGTCTAATAGGGTCCTACTTAAAAAAAACTTTGATTTACTCAAGTGGTCATGTATTTATCTGCATTTTCAGAACACGTAGGCCTATTACCGTTTCCACAAAACCCAACTATTGTATCATATACTATCCAGAGAAAGTTTAATCTATGGTTTTGAGATCCATTTTGATAACCTATTATAATGCCATCAACGTCCTCGTTTACAAAGTGATATTCTCTGTTCGGGTTTTCCCACACAAATTTAATACGCATTTATTATGTACCCATGCGTGCTACATGGCCCGATTATAATTAATGGTCGATAAAATAAGTCATCGGCACTGGTAGCTTGGCCAAGATTCGAACCTGGCACCTCCCACATATTAACGCCGCTAAACTAACCTCACGTGTGAAATGCAAAATTTCAGGACTAGCGACTGCTCAAATGTTCGAATTCTGGGGTCTTCTGCGTACAGGTGGCTGAATGGTGAATGAACCACTTCTTCAGCCAACGTTTCGAGAGGTATCTCTGCTGTCATCCTCAGGGCAGCTACGAAACGAAACTAGTCCTATATAACGCGTTCGCCGATGGGAATTGAAATATAGCTCTATCTCGGAAACCAATCGGAATATGACACATGTACATATACAGAATTTTTGCTTAGAATGACCGACACTATGACCTCCCAGAATATTGACCTTTCCTCCTGGGACACCATACGAGGTGCGATCGGAAGGTTTCCAGACTGCGCGTATAAAAACCCGTACACTTATCTCAGGTATTAAATTCATCCATCACCCTCGAAGTAGTTCCCCTGGGAGTGAACACAACGATCCCAGCGCCGCTGCCAAGCCTGGAAGCATCCCTGGAAATCTTTCTTTGTCAGCCTGCCAAGCACCATCTGCGATTCTGCCTGAATCTCTTCTATCGTCTCAAATCGCCTTCCCTTTAGCTGAATTTTCATCTTTGAGAAGAGGAA